GTTTCAGTGGGATCGAGGCATCAACTCTGGTCCATTCGTGGAAGAGCAGGCGATAGTCTCTTTGGATTTCTTCCCCTCGCCGATCCTCCTCTAAAGCTGAGTGATCTGTAAGGCCACCCTTCCATTCCACCTTACCTAGCCTTCCTCCACCGACACCCCCAAGCCAGTTTGAGCTGAAGTCCYGGATTYTTTGTCTGATGTCAGTTCGTTTATGGAGGTGTTTAATGCGTGCCTTTTCTTCATTCCATTTTGCAGTTATTTCCGTTTGAATTTGTTGCTGCACACTGTCGGTGAACTCCGGGCCTTCCAGGCGCGCCCCCTCCATTTCGAAAGTGCAACGTCGCCGCCAGAGCGCCCAGAGAATAGCCCGCCGCCCCAACTTGAGCATGTTTTTTGTGAAGTCGTCTGCCTGCACAGACAGGTCCTTTGGCCAGGTTTCGCACAGCAGGGCCTTCCAATCCCAGGGCCATCGAACGTTTGTCTCCAGTTGGTCCCACACTCGGTCCCACCACCTCCATAACCACAGTGCGCCCGGGCATTGAAGGAATATGTGTTCGATTGTCTCAGGTTTTTTGCGGGAGGGGAATGCGTTTATGCAGAGCTGACACCACGGGAGGGYCTTCCCTTGTTGTTCCAGGGATGTTCTGTCAATGAGCCAATCGTTGGTCGGGAGACAGCGGTGCTCTATCTGCCATTGGAGCGCGGCCAGCTTTGCAGGTTTTTCCTTGGCCAGTTTAAACCAYCGAACCGGTCGCAGATCMTGTTTRCTGATGTTGAGRTGGTTTATCCATCGTTCCTCCACTTGGTCCCGCAGGGGGACCTTCGGTCTCAGGAGTCTGTAGGCAGACTTAACTGTCAAGGCGTATAGGGATTTTGTATGTTTCTTGCCTTTGGTGTCTTGGGACGACCAGGACCATTCTGCCGGGTCCAGGGCCAGGTGTTGCAGGGGAGCTTCGGGCGAGTAGGCGATCCATTGCTCTTTCTCTTGTATTATCCGAATTCTGTAGACTTCCTCAGCACGATGGGATCGGATATCTTCGTCAGCCTCTTTTTGGATGACATTGTCCCGCCCCAATGGACAAAACTGTATCTCTACTGTTCCGTCCTGGGGGCCTCGGATCACCCTGCCCACACGGCCTTGCTGGTCATTTACTGCAACCCAGTCCGATTCCTGCAAGGAGGGGCCTCTATGGAGAGTTCTCCACCATGCCAGCGGGATCAGCTCAATTAATCTCTCCATAGCATCATACGGACGGTGGCAGTAGCATAGTTTTTGTCGGAGTTGGTCTGAGTCAATCCAGTCCTTCCTATCTGGATCCCATATATCTTTTACTCTTAATACCCCTCTCCTGATCCAGCTCCTCCAGGGGGAGTCCGTACTCAGAAGCATACGGCCTGTCGAGTCTACTATCCACCTATTTCCAAAGAGGGGTTGGCGTGCCACCTCTTCCCATCGGTCTGGCGTTGTTTTATCCAGAGGGGGCAAACACCTCCATGTCCTCAGAAGGTCGGGCCAGAAGGGGTCGTAATGGAGGTCGGCTTTGGCTGCTTGCTTTGGAGAGGTGGGGTGGGGGGCCTCGCACGGCGTTCTCGTACGAGGGATAGACCATTCTCTATTCTCCAGCCATGTCAACGGGTCGGCCCCATCTGGCGTCTGGGGCGCCAGCCTCGAGATCTTCTCTAGTGCTAGCCCTCGCCAAGGGGTCTCGGGGTTGAAGAGGATACGCTTTAGCCATTGCAGGGCCAGTGCTTTAGTTTGCAGGAGGGGGTCAATGATGTCGGGGCCCCCACGGTGTTTGGGTTGGATAATAGAGTGTCAGGCCACCCGGCTGAGCACGTTTTGCTGCTCATGGTCTCCTCGCCATAAGAAGGCGGCGATCTGGTGTCGGAGTGGCCGCAAGGCCTTCTTATCCAGGGCCCAAATGACAGATTTGTACCACATCGAGGCTAAAATGACATTATTGATGACCAGAGCACGACTGAACAGGGAGGTGTGTTTACCCTTCCAGAGGGCCATTTTGGCTAAGGGGGGTGCGGCGATCCACTCATTGTTTGTTGGGGGCCTGCCTTCCGCCGTCATGGAGACACCCAGCACCCTGATGGGGGCTTCTTTGGGGAGCCAGTTTATTCTTGGCTGTTCTGGGGGTCGTACTCCTTGGTGGTGAATCCACCATCCGAGGGTTTTGTTTCCCCAGTTGACTCTCATGTCTGACAATGTACAGAAGCGGTCGTTGCACCTCCTCCATAGATTCTTTGGAGGCATCCACCATCAATGTCAGGTCATCAACAAATAGAGAGCACACAGGGATGGCCTCCTTTGGTATTGCAGTCACTTGGATTATTTTGAGTTCTTTGTGGGTCCTGAGGTTGGCTGTCAGCGCCTCCATCACAATGACAAACAAGTAGGGCGCTATAGGGTCACCCTGTCTGACCGACCTCTGGAGGCAGATGGGAGGTGCCAGATTGTCATTTACCCTGACCCTGGTTGTGGCATTCCCATGAAGGATCCCGATCCAACGTCCGAAGTTGGGACCAAAATTTAGTCTTTCTAAGCACTTGTCCAAAAAGAACCAGTCGACGTGGTCGTACGCTTTCTCGAA